CTTCAGCTGTTTAATGCTTTTTGAAGCTTGCTGTAAGTCACGCCAGGGTAGATTGCCCTGTGCCTGGGGCAGCAGTTTACTGCATGAGTTTACAGGGGCTCAGGGAGCAGTCCACACTAGCTGTGTGACGCTGACCAAGATACCCAAAGAAGAACAGAGTGCCTCCCTGTAAGGCTTTTGTGAATGCCAAATGGGAAGAGCAACTGAAGCTCATGGGAGAGTTTGGGGTCATTTGTGGGAACAGACAAATGCACTGTGTGTGTTTGCTGAATGGAGGAGTAGAGGAGAGGATGGATGGAGGAGTGGAGGAGTGGAGGAGAGGATGGATGAACAAGTGCTTAAGGGAGCTGCATTTGTCTCCTGGACAGATTTCTGTAGACCATCCAGAGTACTTATGTGATGAAAGCATTTTGTTGATGGTGATCCTTACAAGGAGCTCCTGGGTGATGTAAATGGTTTATGCCCCTGGCTACTAACTGAAGGACTAAAGTTCAAATCCACTCAGAGGAGCTTGGGCAGAAAAGCCGGCAATCTAGTTCTAAGCAATTGGTCATTGAAAACCTCGTGGAGCACAGCTTTACTCTGACACGTGGAGTCTCCATGAGTCTGAATGAACGCAGAGGCAGTTTGTTTGGCTTTGTCTGGGAGGTTTGTTAGCCACTTGGTAAGGGCATAGAAACGTATCAGTCGTTTGCTGAATGAAGGAGTGGAGGACTGTGCAGGTCTACAAGGTGTTTCCACTTGTGCCATGGACAGGTTTCTCTCAATGCCTAAAGTACTTCCATGTTCAAATCATTTCTTGATGGTTAACCATTCCAAGCTTGACCCCACCAATAAACAGTCAAGGAACACTTCTGGAAAGATGTGTCCATGTTAATATGGAAGTAATTCTTAATGTCCAGGAAAATTCCATTCTGAATCTTTAGAAGCTGCTGCTCACCTATCAAAGGGAACGTGTATCCTCCTCTGAAGCCACAAAAAGTTAAGTCAAATGCAGAAAGTCCTTGGTGACCTTACAGGAACACTCAGTTACTGCTACTCAAAAAAATAAAAACAAGCTGACAACAACAAAACTAAACTGATTTGAAATCCAAGTATTATCATTATTGCTACTAATAAAGAAATAATTTTTATATACTTAGCAACTCCCTGTGAAACAGAGAAGAGTTGAGAATTATGATTATTTTTGACTACTCTGCCACCGACAATTTTTCTGATTTGTTGTATGAGTTTGATGGTTGGGTCCAAGACTCAGAATATCTTTCCAAACCAGCAGACTGATGTAGGAAGATTATTTCAGTGCAGTTTCTGGCAAATCAAGGTGATGAATAGCATAGTAGGACAAACTTATTCAGATGCACATTCTTCAGTAGTGGCAGGGAAAAGGGTGAAAAATTACTAGTAAATTGCTTTTTGTAAAAATGTTCTCTCTTTCAAATTTTCCCTAGTAGGAAGGTCTTCTGCAGCATGATGGCAAGACATGTTCTGATGCACTTGGACAGCAAAGGCAGTGAAGGAGTGAACATGAGATGAGAGTGAGGGTTAAGACTTAATTTTCCTGTTAGACCCCACCATCTCCCATACGCTGCTCTCCACCAAGTCCCTTTGTGTGTATCTTCTTAACCTCTTGGTATAAGTGTCCTTGGAAGGGTATATACTATCTCTCTTTAGCAGACATGCTCAGACCCACCCAGCACCAACCATCTAGTTCCCCTCAAAATGAAACCAGGAATATCAATGTGTCTCTAGTGTATTGCTTTTCTCTTCTCTCCAAATCCACCCAATTTTCTGAGCTCCAAATCCATACTCTTCACCAAGGTCTCCAAATATCCCCAGTGCCTGGTAAACCACCAAAGACAAAAGCAGGCTTGTTCCGTCATCTCCACATCACCTCTGGATGTGACCATTTCTGATTAATTGTTTGGTCAGATGACACCTAGGATCTTCTTTGGGGGTGGGACTTGCCTCACTGTCAGCTTGCCACAGAGCCAGACTTTTCCGGACTGGAGCTTCAGGACGGCTGGGCTCTGACCCAGCCGTGCACGTGGCAGGCGGGGCCCAGTGTACTTGTTCTTCCACTTTGCCTTCTCTCTGAAGCCTGGCCCCCAAGACACACTCTAGGATGTGTCAGCAGCCGTGGTCATCCTGGGTGAAAGGTCCAATCCAGTACTTCTCAGCAGGGGGTGGGTTTACCCCCTTACCCTCACTCCAGGAGATAGTTGCCAATGTCTAATGACACTTTTGGTTGTCACACTGCAGGGGGTGGTGCTACCGGCACTTAGTGTATAGAGGCCAGGGATGCTGCTAAAAATTCTATGATGCAAACCATCCAGCCCAAAATGTTAGTAGTGCTGAGGTTGAAAATGTTGGTATAATCTGAATAAATTCGCCAGAGATTATCTTTTGTTGTCCTCTACCATGGTGTCATGGATTAAATCGTTTATCCCAAAATATGTGTCAACTTAGCTAGGCCATGATTCTCAGTAATTATTCTCCATTTTGTGATCTGATCTAATTACCCTGTGCTGTAAATCCTGACTTCTGTGAGGTTAATGAGGCAGGATGGGAAGCATTTTTGTTAATGAGGAAGGATGCAAAAGTCAGCAGAGGGACCCGTTACCACCAAGGAAGATGGGCCCGGGGCCCCTCTGCTGGGAAACTCCCAGACCCAGGGGAGGACTGGTAAGGACTTTCCCCAGAGCCGACAAAGAGAAAGCCTTCCCCTGGGGCTGGGAATTTAGACGTCAGCCTCCTCGACCGTGAGAGAATCCACTTCTGTCTGTTAAGCCACCCCACTCACGGTATTTCTGTTCTTACAGCACTAGGTGACTAAGACACCTGGGCTGGTCCAGGGCAGACACATGAGAAAGCAGTACTGGTGCTGTCAAGTCGACTCTGACTCGTGGCACCCCATGTGTGGCAAACTAGAACTGGGCTCCTGAGGCTTTTCAGTGCCTGGTTTTTCAGAAGGAGCTCACCAGGCCTTTCTTCCCACGCACTTCTGAGGGCACCTGAACCCCCAGCCTTTTGGTTAGCAGCTGAGTGCAATAGCTGTTTGCAGCACCAGGGACCTAACGTGGTTGTGGCTGAGTTGGCTCCGATCCATGGTGACCTATGTTAAGAGTGTGAAATCTTGCCCAGTCCCGCACCATCCTCACAATCATTGCTGTCTGAGCCCACTGTTGCAGCCACTGTAGCAATCCAAACTTGGTTACCAGTGAGCAGTTCATGCCTGATTTATGAAGTACTTGGATTTTCTCTTTTATTCTGTAAAGTGCAGGGTCAGGCCTGTGTGAAAGGAGGAAGGTAAAGTTAACGGTCTGCAGACTGCAGGGAGGTGCCTGTGGTCAAAACACACTCAGATGGGGGCTGTGGGGTGCTCTCACCTCCCCTTCTCTGAGCCACCCTCCCCTTGGCCTGCAGTCCTAATGCAGTGAGAGCAAAGGATGGGGGAAGGTATCCTGCCTGTCTGTTGGACACCTGGGACTACCACAAGGAGTTGGTTTAGGATCAGGGAGATCATAGTCCTGTTCTGCCTGGGCCTCTACTTGCTGTGTGATCTTGGAGGAGTCAAATAACTTCTCTGAACATTTTCCCCTTGAAACAGCATGGCATGGCCTTCAGGGTCACTTGGAAGGGCCATATTCCACCCGTGCGCTAGCAAAGCACCAGGTCCTCAGACCCACCAAGTCCATAATCAGCAGCCACAAAGCCACGTTTGCCAGTGGTGCTTCCAGAAAAGTGTCCCTGGAGGTCTTGGAGCTGGGCCCTCAGGTTCCCCCGTGAGAGGTCACATGGTCCCTTACAGCTGAGGCTGGACAGTACAGCTGGTTCACACCTATGACCCTTGACTCTTTAGAACTCCTCTCTAAACCCAGGGCCTAGCAACCCACAGCTCCTCCCTCCTGCTTCCTTCTCAAACACAAGGAAAAACGGAGCACAACAAGCAATATGCTTAATTCTGTTTTATGCTTTGAGTCCAACCCTGAAGAAAGTTCTTCCACGTGCAAGAAACAGCTGGGGCTGTGCCTGATAGAGGGCAAGCATCTCACCCCACTGGTTCACCCACAGGAGCCATGGGCCACCTGCATCTTTTGAGCTGCATTTAATAATTCAGCCCAGGATGAATCCACATGATTAACATAAAGCCTCATGATTTTATTTTCTTTCAGGACTTAAGTACGGAAACAACCACCATTGTTTTCCTTTTCAGAGGTTGTGAGCAAACCATGAAACTTGATTCTGGAATGAATCATTTCTTCCCTTCTTTCCTGAAAGTATTTTGAAATAACCCCTCCAATGAATCAAGGAAAAGAGTTGCTAAGTCTGCCTTTGCAGATGAAGGGAGACCCGAGCTCTTGTCCTGGCTGATGTTAACCCATTAGAAGCAGGTGCACCTTAGAGACTTCTCTGGTCCGGTATCCCCTCATAGCAGCAAGGCAGGTTGATGACTGTGTAGCACCCGTAGAGGCTGACCTGAAGTAGGTTCATTGTAGCTCCCCATCGTAGGGTGCTGCACACTTAAGACCTAGAATCTCCAATGAGCCTTTAGAGCAAAAGCAGCCGTTCTCTTGAAGCCCAACCATAGCTTCATCACGATAGTAAAAGCCCAAACCAAATCAGTTGCATTTGGTAAACCATCTGCCCTTACACTGGAGACATGCGTACAGGCTGAGTACGTGCCAAGCAGAATATGTGGCATCAGTAGGCGTCTGCACAAACACAGTAAGGCAGGTTTGTCCAATGGGGAAACATGCGTTACTATCAAAAGAAAGACAACGGTCCCACCCGGAGAAGCAGGCAGGCTTTAATATGTGAGACTCATTCCGAGCTGTGCCCACTGGCAGTCCTTCCCTGTCTGGTTTCTGTGCACATACAGGCCTCACCCGTTTGAAAATGATCAGGAAACACTCGGCCAGGATGTTGGCTAAAAGTTCGTGCGGCCTGAGTCTGTGTGTGTGGTGTGCTGACGCCTCTGTTGGTGTTTGCTTGCAGGAACCATGGTCAGCAAGGAGTCTGGCACATGTGTGCTCACAGCTTCCGAGAGTGAAGTGGAGCCGGCCGCCTCACTGGCCCTGGAGATGAAATACGCCCTGGACCCCAACCGGCAGATTAAGAAGAGGAACAAGGCGCTACAGGTGCGGTTTAAGGATATCTGCGAGGCACAGAATGAGCAGAGGGACACACAGCTCTCGATGGGTCAGCCTGGCGAGCAGCGCGAGGCCAAGCCCGTCTCACACAAAGCAGCCTATCGCAAGTACATGACTGTGCCCGCGCGCAGGTCCATCCCCAACGTCACCAGGAGCACGGGCGTACAGACCTCCCCGGACCTCAAGAAGTGCTACCAGACCTTCCCCCTGGACCGCAAGAAGGGGGCTCTGAAGAACTTCCCTGCTGTGGACCCCTTTAAAAGTCAGAACAATGGGTCTCTCGTGGACGTCAAGGAGAAAGGCGAGGGGAAGGCCCCCGGGGAGGCCGGGCCATGTGGGGCGGCCCGGATCCAGACAACGGCCTTGGTGTCCCGCTCCAGTGAACACATGAATGCCACGGACCAGCCCTCAGGCCTCAACTGTGCTGACCCTTGTCAAAACCCTGATTTGCACAGCTGCCGAGACACCCCCTTCCAGAACGTAGAAGACCCAGATGAGCAGCCGCAAGGCAGAGCAAAGCATGGCCAAGAGGCGTCAGATGCCGAGGAGCCCGCCCCGGAGGCCCACGGCAGAGTGTTTAAGACAGAGGTGGCCACGGTGTACGCGCCTGCCCCCGGCGCACAGGCCCCTGAGTTGGCCTTGTCGAACTCCGCAGCAGCCAGCGAGTGGTCCCTGTGTCCATCGGACGAGGAGCGCAGGAGAGCCGTGCACCTAAATGGACTGCAGGCCTCTCCCAGCGCCGTGCTGGCCTGCTTGCCCCCCCCACAGTGCCCATCCCCCGAGTGCGGCGAGCAGCCCCTGCAGGCTCACACCCCCACCGGGGAGGAGAGCCAACCCTGTCAGACGGCTCTTGCTGCACGCGAAGAATACCAACAAATTGTGCCTCACACGGAAGTGGTCGACTTGAAGGCCCAGCTGCAGGTGATGGAGAACTTGATCAGCTCAAGCCAGGAAACTATCAAAGTGCTCTTGGGCGTCATTCAGGAGCTGGAAAAGGGGGAGGCTCACCGGGAAGGGTATGTATGCTCACGGTAGGCTCGCCACTCTCGGGTCTGCCTCGGCCCTGCCCCGAAAACCTAAGCCTACACATAGCGCCTAAAGCCAGCTGTGCTGGAATCTGAGGGCAGAGAGGGTCAGCATTCGGTTTCTGACGCCGCACTGCACACTCACGTGGCACGTACGCCTGAGTGTTATTCACCTGTCTGGCCTTGAATTCAAAATTGCACGTGTCGTTGAATGAACCGATGGATCTTGGCTTTTTTTGATCTCTTAGGACTATGGTTTGTGATACACACAGAGTATGCCAACCCACGGTCTCCAATCTAAACAAAAAGCTGCTTGCCTCTTAGGAATTGTGCTATGGGAGAGATGAGGACAGTGATGCAGACGGGGTTTGAAAAAGTGCGGCTTCGTTTCTAATACAGCACTGGGGTCACTTTGATATTCAGGGTTGGCTAAGGGGTTGTCCAATAGATGATGTTTTCCTTTCCTCTTTGCTTGGAACTCGAACCAGCAATGACCACATCCTAGGATTGGGAGAATGATGACCCCCATGGGTGCAGGTGTGTGCAGAGAGAAGGGCGCCCCGTCCCACTGCTGCTGTCCAGCACTGACGGCAGCCTCTGAGCTCTGTTTGCCTTCTTTGGACCTTGAAGCTGACCAGTAGCAACTTGAAAGACAAAAGATACACAGACAAGAGCTTACGCCCTGTGCTTGCCAGGCAGTGCCTCCCGGCTTTGTCCAGAGGGCCAGGCCTTGTCTTTTCCATCTCCCCTAGAAGCTGTCTCCATTTCCTCCAGCCCATGTTCCATGGCTTGGATCAGAGCTCCTGCCCTGGTGGCACCCCTCTCTCTGCAGGCCCCTGGACCCTGGGCTCAGCAGCTGGGCTCAGCATGAAGTCACTGTAAGGGCAGTGACCACCCTGTGCACAGGGGGGTTACTGCAGTCGAGGTTAGACAGAGTGTTTGCTTATTGGAGACACCACCCTAGTCCGAGGCAGCAGCGAGACAGCAGGTGAGACTGCAGGTGTCTGGTGCAGTCTGTGCTCGGCCGGGACTTGTCGAGTAGTGGAGGTAGCCATCCCCAGGTGTTCATTCCCAGGACCCCTTCCGATTGATATGCTATCATGTGCAGTCCATGCTGGTCAGCAAACAGAGGAGCTAGCCCAAGTGAAGGTCATGTGCGGTAAATCTGCAGCTAACCCGACACCATCGAAGGTTTCAGAGGCCTTGGGTCCGTGTCTCCATCTTCATCCCATTTCAACCATTAAGACTTGACCGTGTGTATCTCCCAAAGCAGCAGATGAAGACAGGCATGTTAGGGACAGGCTTATCCGCAGACCACAGTCCCCCAGGGAAAGGAGAGGGGCCTGACCGATGACAGACACTGCCGGCAGTGACCCAGTACCGACATCGTCGCGTGGAGCAGAAGCCCCTGTGTGTGCTGAGCACTGGGACCTCCTGGGAAAGCTTTTGTGGAGGCTGCTTGTTGGTCTCTTAGCCCAGGTGGGCAGGGGTTTCGGTGGGCTCTCTGAGCTCCTGGAGGCTCAGTCTAGCAAAGTGATCTGGAAGGGAGCAAGGCAGGTCCTGGGGGGAACTCTAGCCTGAAGCCTTGGCCAAGGGCTGCACCTGTGAGCCTCGTTTCTTTGTCTGTAAGGTGGAGATGGGCATCTGTCTTGTAGATGGTGGGTGACGTAAAGGGACCGAGCTGTGTCCTGATGTCGGACTTGCTGATTGGAGACCATGGGGGTGGGGAGATCTGGATGCCATGTAATGGCCCCTGTCTGAGCTCAGCATGGGGAATGTGCCCCTGACACACACTCAGTACACGCTGCCCCTCAGCCCTGTCCCCAGCAGCCCTAGAGCTGTGTTCAGTACAGTAGCCTGAAGCCACATGTGGCCACTGAAATGCCAACTGACATTAATTATATGGGAACATTCAGCTCCCGGGTCAGGGTAACAGTGTTTCAAGTGCTCAGAAGCCGCAGGTGGCTACTGGCCACTACAGAGTGGGCACAGAACATTCCGGTCGGCACCACAGTCCTTCGGTCCAGTGTCCCCAGTCACAGCACAGGGCCGGTCTTCACTCTTTGGAAGGGATCCTTTTACTTCCAACCCCCCCCCCCCACCGGTGGGTTTGCCAGCACCAGAGCAGCTCGCGGTGAAAGGGCAGCTCAGTGTCCCAGGGCCACCCACACCTGCTCTATGACCTTCATTTCCACACCTTCTTTGAGCCCCCTGGAGTCCAGAAACAGGGAAGTGACAGTTTCAAACTGCAAGGCCATCTGTGGGTGCCCGCTCACTCAATGCCCAGGCGTCCCTGGGCCAAAATATTTTGGCCAAAATACAAACCGTCCACCAGGTCGGGGGGCAGGGCATGGCAGCAACCTCAGAGATGAGCAGACAATGGGCAGCTTGGTCTTCACTCCTACCTGGCATTTGGGTCCAGCACAGAGTTCGGGGAGGAGGACAGGTGAATGAGTAGCAGCAGGTATGGCCACAGCCCACAGTGTGCTGGAAGCACTTGGTGGCAGGACATCAAAGTATAAATACCTGTAACCCACCCAGTGCCGTGAAGTCAATTCTGACTCACAGTGCCCCCTAGAGGACAGAGTGGAACTGCCCCACAGGGTCTCCAAGGCTGTCATCTTTATAGAAGCAAAGCCCAAACCAAATGCACTGCTGTGGAGTTGATTCTGACTCACAGCGCCCCTAGAGGGCAGAGGAGAACTGCCCCATAGAGTTCCCAAGGCTGCTATCTTTACAGAAGCAGATTGCCTCATCTTTCTCCTATGGAGTGGCTGATGGGTTCGAACCAATGACCTTATGGTTACCAGCCAAGCACTTAACCTCTGGGCTACCAGGACTCCTTTTAAGCCTCACAGGGATCTATTTATTAGAGGTTATCAGAGCCAGTGTCCTATATAACACATGTCAGCAAAAAGCTAGATAGTAAATAATTCCGTCTTTGTAGGCCACATACGGTCTCTGTCACAACTGTTCTACTTAGACCTTGTAGCTTGAAAGTAGCCATAGATAACATGAGTGGGTGACTGTGTTCCAATAAAACTTTGGCCACAGTTGTCGGCCACAGTTTGCTGCCTCCTGGTATATGTCTTGTAAATGTGGTGACTATAGATACTTAACTGAGAAACAAGGCAAAATATGGGTTCAGGGAGCTCCAGGGTGTGTGACTGCCAAACACACAGGGTGTCTGTCTCAGGTCTCTGGTGCTGCTCTGACAGAAATAGCACAAGTGGATGGCTTTAACAAACAGGAACTTATTACCCTACAGTTTAGGAGGCTAGAAGTTTTAATTCAGACTGCTGGCTCTGGGGGCTGAGTAAAGTCCCCTCGACCCTGGCCTTCAGCTCTGCCTCTTATTCCAGGACTGCTGGAGCTAGAGGCTTCTCCTAACTCATGCAGCTGCTGGCTGCTGAGGCTGACTAACCCAAAGTCAGCAGGTAAAATGGCACAATCCTAACATCAGCAGACAACGCGGCAGGCCTCTGGTTCAAGTCCAGGAACTGGAGATGAAGACTAGGTCAAATACAGGATCCAAATGTGCCAAAAAGCTCAAGATTTTTTTTCTCAAACTTGCCCATACATACTAGAAGCAGGCCACACCCCAAAGGCAGCTCCCTTTCCGCTGATTAACATCTCATAGCAGATTCCACCACGGAGTTGATTACCAGTCTCATCATGGGGTATAACTACATCCAGCTGCCCAGCCACTCAAAACCGCAGCCCAGCCAAGTTGACACAACCTTAACTACCACAGCATCATTCCATCACACATTCAGAGGGCTTCCCTAAGCGCTGGGCCCAAGAGTGAAAGACATTCCTGCCCAGGCTTTGAGGAGCTCTCAGCTCATTGACATTGGGTAAGCTAAAGCATCAGCCCCCATATCTGTGTAACTTACATGTAGAGTTAATCCATGACGTCATTTCTGGAGAACCTGAAAAGGGTCTTGCTGTCCCACCAGCAGGAAGAAGAGGCCACCCCAGATGTGTCTGTGATGCGGCTTTAACGTGGGTATCTGCTGCTAGATGGAGAGAACTGACACGCTCGTTTTATCTTATGTCCCTCATATTAATATTAATGATACTCAGGATGGACATCTTCAAAAAGGCCTGCGGGAGAGGAGAGCACTCTCCGAAGGGGCCCTAATTCTCCGCATCCAAACAGGATACCAACTGCATCACCACTGGACGAAGCAGAGAGATGAGGTCACCGGTTAAGGCACAGAGCGTGGGAAACGCATGCCGGGGCAGCAAAAGCAGCACCACTGAGGAACCAGATTCCGACTCAGGAGCTTTCCCAGATTCTCCCTCTTCCAGACGCTTCGGGGCAGGCTGGGCACAGCGGGAATGGTGGCATCTCCATCTGGCTGTGCTCCCTCTCGAGGGATGGCGGGGCTGCTCTTGCCAAAACCGACCCACTCAGTTGAGATCGAAGTCTTCCACCTGCTTAGCTGGGGATGGCCGTATTTCCAGGAGGGCAGTGGGTGGCGTATATAAATAGACCGCCTCTCCCTCACCCCGGTGGCTCTGCAGACAGTTATGGAGCATCTTCAGAATGCTGCATGTGGCCTTCCCAGGCTTCCAGCGTGGTCAGTGGACCACAGATGGGCAGGGCATTGGGGGCAGCGAGCAGAAAGGAGTTCGAGAGCAGGTTCAGAAGCTGAAAAGCTTTGCATCCTGCTGGAGGTACGCCTGACCCTTCGCACACCCCACGTGAACAGGATGAAAATGTCAGCACTTCGTTTGCTTACATTCTTGATAGATCAGTTTTGCTGTCTCCTCTCCACATAGCCTGTGCCTGTCACCCAAAACATGTGAAAACATTCTGGCTGGCCGGCTGAGGTCTGCCCCCCTTGCAGTTGTCCTCCTTCCACGTTCCAAGAATGAGATTTCGGGAGGGAACTATGGAGACTCGGTGGCTCCACCCCTCCCCTAACTCTAACCATGCGCAGGACCATTGACTGCTGTACATCTGCTTCCTCCTCCACAAACAA